ATATATATATATATATATATAATATTAGTTGAAATATCTAACTTTGACTGTAAAGGCGTTTTCTATCGTATTTCAAATAAAATACATATCTTGCAATAAAATCACACATCAATTATAAATATCAAATTTAAAATGAATTGAATTGAATTTAACAAGTAATTTAAAAATAGATACAAAGCAAATATATTAAAGAAATTAAACTGTACTGATAAATTGTATTATTAATTTGATACGGATATATTAATAAAGATAATTATAATATAGATTGTATATATATACATATATAAATAATATAAAAAATTAAATTAAATATCGAAATATATTGGACGAAAATTAATAAGGGTCACTTACTGCAATGTCTTCTCCCATAATGTTCACGTACTTTTGTACCATTAATGCCATTATCGCGGTAGGTCCTACTGTTACATCCTTGCAACTACCGAAGACCAGATAAACGAAGCAACCCATGAAACTGCTGTACAGGCCATACTGAAGTTTTCAAAAGTTCACCTAACGAGAGTTGTCTTTCCAACTATTGTAGATTAGATCGGTTACTCGATGAAGACTTCCTCAAAATACTTAAGAAATTTAATTAACCGAAAAATTGCGAGTATTCCACGAGTGTGCAATCTTTGTTTTTAAACTATAGTATCATCGTGAGTTTTAGGATTATGAATGAACTTTTCATGGATTTCCAAAATTTTTTATTTGAGAATTTTTAAATACAAACTAAAATTTTCTTTCAAATTGTTTTAACATTGTAGAATATAGCAATATTAGATTTTCTAATAAATTTTTTGGAGAATTATCATTTACGCTAAAGTATTGAAAAACGATAACTTTAATTCGAACGTCATTCGCAGAAGGAAGTTTATATGCAGCAAGTACACAATCGCAAGTGTATATATGTACTCGTATCGTGTACCCACCTGTGCCGGAAGTCCAGCCACTATTGCATATGCTATGCCCTGCGGTATTGCGGTCAGACCCACTGTCAACCCTGCCAAAGTGTCCTGTAGAAGTTTGCTCCAACTGTACAAAGGTAGCCATGCTAGAATCGGTACCCTTCGCAGGAGAAGTCTCTTGAGGTTGCAACTTTGAGAGAGTATAATATTCGGCCCTATGATTTACATAATAAATATGTAAAAACAAATAAATATGTAAAAATGATTGTAAAAATGATTAAAACAAAAATTTGGATTGTAATCTTATAATTAAAATCATATGAGGACATGAGAAATACAAACTAGTTCGATTATGTTCAGTAAACATTTAGAAAGAATAATATTGTGATGTCGATATGATGCATATCTAAAAGTAATAATTTTTTAAAGATTTAGATGAAAAATATTGACATAATAACATGAAAATATGTATATTAAATATGTATATTAATATATTAAAATAATGTCTTAATTAAAAATTAATTTTTAATTCATTTTTTATTAAGTTGTCATAATTTTTAATTAAGTTATCATAAAACTTCAATTTAAAGCAAGATGTTAAAATATATAAAATTAAAGATTTGTGAAAATAAATTGTTCACGAAGTCTATAAAAAAAAAACTAATTATATATTTATTTTCACTCTTATTAAATAAAAACAGATAAGTAAGTCTTATTATAGATATTACATTACGTTATTTAATTGGTTATTAAAATATTATTCACACATTTGTCGGGTTCGAAATACATCGTATCTAACATTATTATCCACTTATCATCACAACTACTGTATCGTATCATTTTAAAACTACTAATCATAGTTACGCCTCTCAAATGGTTCGATATTATCATATCGAAGGCTGCGCAAACATGATATTAAAAAAACTGCAATGTACAAACTTTTTTCTAATATAATAGTCATATTCTATTGCATAATATAAATAGAATGTATAGCATATATATATATATATACAAAACTAAATAACATGTATTAATTATCTAATGAATTGTACATACATAGCGTCATGATCTCGACGTTATATTTTTTAATGCATAAATAAAATAATTTTCACTGCAAAAATTTTTCGCACAATCCGCGAAATTGACGTATATTAACATATAAAACTAGTTTTATGAATATAAACAAAAGTGTAACTTTTGAAGGAAAACGCTATCTAAGTATAGCAACTGCGGATAACAGACGGCCAATTCAGCACAAATACTCTTCAAATACTGACATCTTCAGCATTCTTGATAATCCATTACGACGAAGAACACAATGATTTATCAAGTGCTTGATAATCAAGTGCTTACCAGATTGCGATAACATATTTAATATACTGTATAGCGATCATCGCGATAAGATATTCTCAAACAAACGGTAATCAAAGGAGACGGTCGATTTAGCATTCTCATCTCCGTAAAATGTTTAACAACGGCATAATTCTCGCATATCATGTGATGATGTCGCAATAAATGGCACTGTCAATATATTCAGCGAACATATATGAGAGTATAGATGTATACGAGCGTCACGTGAAATTTGTATAAAAGATCATTCGGAATTAACGCAATCTGTCAGCAATCTCTTTTAATCGTCAGACTTTTTCTCGTAATTATATGTTTAATTCAGATGTCAATTATGAAACTGTATTCAAGCGTGTATGTGTGCTTTTATTCATATAAGGATAATTTTTTAAGTAGATTTTACATATTATAAATTCTGGTATTAAAAATTAATTGGAAACATAAATATTTTATTAAGAATATATTGTTTAAATTACTCTTTAAAAAAAAAATATATATATATATATGCACATCTACTTTAACAGGTTAAATATTTTTATACATTATATTATATGATTAAAAAATTATATTATATATATAAACGCACGCACACACACGCGCGCGCGTATACGTGCGTGCGTGTGTGTGTGTGTGTGTGGGGGGGGGGATATATGTGTGAATATAGGATATCCTCTCTATTTTATTTTAGATAGTTAATTTTCTCCAAAATTGATAAAAGAGAAAAATCAGATTTCAGATGAAAGTATAAAATTCGCAATTGTATCCTTTTGATAATTGTATCTAAATATTTTTACACATAAACTAGTAAAATCAATCAATTGGTGAAGAAAATATATTGCTTTAAAAAAAAGTACAAATTACACAATCTTCTTGGAAAACAATTATGTATTTTTTTTGCATCAGTTCATTTATCTTACTATTCTATGCATAAAAGTTGATGAATGAATAAGAATGGTCAAGATACAATAACTAAAAAATGATTAG